TGACCTCGTGATCTGCCCGCCTCGGCCTCCCAAAATACTGGGATTACAGGCGTGAGCTACCGCACCTAGCCAGGACTGGGACTTATGTAGGGAAAGGAAGGAGTTAAGGAGGACACCTAGGTTTCAGGATAGAACAACTATTTGGTTAAGGGTACTGTTTGCTAAGTTAGTGAACATAACACCAGAAGAGTTCTAGATAAGGAGAGGGTTTTGTGAAAGGTTCAGTATTGGGCATGTGTGCTGCCTGTGGGTTGGCCATGGAGAGTCTGGCAGATGGATAAGACTAAAGCTCAGGAATGAGTTCTCAGCTAAAGTAGACATGCAGGAACAATCATCATCTGGCCATGGCTGTTAAACCCATGCAGTGGTTGAGATAATTGTGGGAAAGCATATTGTGTTCTTAAACTTCAGCCTGTATTAATCTGGGTCTTCCTCCCTCCTTTTTTTTTTTTTTTTTTTGAGACAAGGTCTTAACTCTGTCACCCAGGCTAGAGTGCAGTGGCACCATCACTGCTCACTGCAGCCTCAACCTCCCTGGGCTCAAGCAATCCTCCCACCTCAGCCTCCCAAGTAGCTGGGACTACTGGCTGTGCTACCACGCCCAGCTAACCCGGCTAATTTTGAATTGTTTTAGAGTTTCACCATGCTGCCCAGGCTGGTCTCAACCTTGCCAGGCTCAGGTGATCCTGTCACCTCAGCCTCCTGAGTAGCTGGGACTACAGGCACGAGCCAGCATGCCCAGCTAATTTTTCCGTTTTTTGTAGAGACGGGTCTTTGCCTTGTTGCCCAGGTTAGTGGTGAACTCCTGGGCTCAAGCGATCTACCTTGGCCCCGCAAAGTGCTGGGATTACAGGCGAGAGCCACCACATCCAGTCTGCTCCATTTTTACTCAGTAGATGAAAACATGAATTTACCTTTTTAACAAAACTTAGGTAATTTCACCTTATGGCCATGAGATCACTCTGAGAGACAATAGTATTCAGTGCACCAAGCAAAGGATAGGCCATCCAAGAAACGGAACTACAAAAGAATACTGGGAGAGGAAGACAAAAAGCGTGAGAGTTGGAACTTTGATGATGCTGGTGAGGCAACTCTGAATGGTGATTTGGTCTAGTTTCTACAACTCTGACCTTGAATGAGTGTTTGGCTGCGGTGGGCTGAAGGTCAGTTGTAGGACTGTCCATAAGGATGCTGAAGACATCTACAACTTGAAGCCTTGTTTTTTTTCCTTTTAACTTTTATTTTAGATTCGGGGGACATGCGCAGGTTTATTATGTAGGTAGCCTCATGTCACGGGGGTATGGTATAGAGATTATTTCGTCACCCCTATACTAAGCATAGTACTTGATGGGTATTTTTTCCGATCTGTCTCTTCCCACCCTCAAGTAGGCCCCAGTGTCTGTTATTTCCCTCTTTGTGTTCATGTGTTCTTGTTATTTAGCTCCCACTTATAAGTGGGAACAAACATGCAGTATTTGGTTTTGTGTTCTTGGGTTAGTTTGCTAAGGATGATGGTCTCCAACTGTATCCATGTTGTAGCAGAGGACATGATCTCATTCTTTTTTATGGCTGCATAGTATTCCATGGTATATATGTACCACATTTTCTTTATCCAGTCTACTGTTGATGGGCATTTAGGTTAAGACTGGCTTTTCTAGCTCTTTTCAAGCTCCTTAAGATTAGAAGAATGTGAAGGGCAGGGCCGGGCGCGGTGGCTCACGTGTGTAATCCTAGCACTTTGGGAGGCCGAGGCGGGCAGATCACTTGAGTTCAGGAGTTCGAAACCAACCTGGCCAACATGGTGAAACTTCGTCTCTACTAAAAATATAAAAAATTAGCTGGGCATGGTGGTGGACGCCTGTAATCCCAGCCACTTGGGAGGCTGAGACAGGAGAATCACTTGAACCCGGGAGGCGGAGATTGCAGTGAGCCGAGATCGCGCCACAGCACTCCAACCTGGGCGACAGAGCAAGACTCCATCTCAAAAAAAAAAAAAAGAATGTGAAAGATTGACCAGGATGTTAGTATATGAACCTTGGAGGACCAGGGAAGGAGCTGTAATGGCTTAGAAGTAGCATTAAGGGAGAAGGATAAAGGACCTACTGCCAAGTGTGTTAAAGCTGCCTGGCACTGGGAGGAGGCCAAACTGGTCCTTTTTCCTAAAGTTATCTACATATAATGGCAACTATGTGTCCAGAATCTGTGTCAGGTATACAAAGATAGTCTATCCTCCTCAGGAAGCCCACACCTTTGCTGAAAAGACAACAGGAAACAAATCAAGTGAGGTTGTATCTTGCATGTATTTAGCTTGTGGGAAATGCATATATTTGAATAAAAAAATGATTAAAAATTATACTCTGCCTATATCCTTTTTATGTACTGTCCACTATTAGGCACTTATACATAGTATGGCACTATGTCCTATTCATTTTTGGTTTTGGTTTTTTTGAGACAGTGTCTCACTTTGTCACCCAGGCCAGACTGCAGTGGCGCCATCCGGGTTCACTGAAGTTTCAACCGCTCCAGGCTCAGGTGATCCTCGCACCTCAGCCTCCCGAGTAGCTGGAACCACAGGCATGTGCCACCACACCTGGCTTTTTGTATTTTTGTAGAGATGTGATTTCGCCATGTTGTCCAGGCTGTTCTTGAACTCCTGGACTCGAGCAATCCACCCGCCTTAGCCTCCCAATGTGCTGGGATTACAAACAGGAGCCACTGCACCTAGCCTGTCCTCTTCTTTATGAACAATTTAAAGGATTGTTCAACAATGTTTTTGTCCATTCTCGCTTTTCAACATACTGACTTTAGAACCAGATTCCATGTAAGATGGGATGAGTACAAGTTTGTTAGAGAAAGGGGCAAGACCAAAACTGGATGGCCAGCTATCTATGGTATGGCTGGACTAAGACTTTTAAGGTTTCTTCAAGTTCTAAACTCCTTTACTTTTGATCTTCATTTCATGTGCCCTCTGGATATACTTTTTTTTTTCTTTTTGAGACGGAGTTTCGCTCTTGTTGCCCAGGCTGGAGTGCAATGGCTCAATCTTGGCTCACCACAACCTCTGCCTCCCAGGTTCAAGCAATTCTCCTGTCCCAGCCTCCCAAGTAGCTGGGATTACAGGTGTGCACCACCACCCCTGGCTAATTTTGTGTTTTTAGTAGAGACAGGGTTTCACCATGTTGGTCAGGCTGGTCTTGAACTCCCAACCTCAGGTGATCTGCCTGCCTCAGCCTCCCAAAGTGCTGGGATTACAGGCGTGAGCCACTGCACCCGGCCTGGATATTTTTTTCTAGTCCTTTATTCTTCCCAAGTTTCCTTGGTGGGCCGGATAGTCAAGAGGATTTAACTAAATTCACTTTCCTCAGGAACAAGCCTGGCTTGAGGATGCTCAGGTCTTCATCCAAAAGACCCTGTGTCCAGCTGTCAAGCAGCCTCATGTCCAGTTGACTCCATTGGTAATTGATTGTGTGAAGACTGTCTGGTTGTCCCAGGGAAGGAATCAAGGTTCTACGCTGCCCCTCAGCTATAGGTAAGGAGAGGTGGCGGTTGTGGGGGCTGGGCAGGGGCGGGTACTGAATTCATGATTGAAAAGTAAGGTTCTGTAGTTAGAAAAAGGGCAAGTGAGAGAGTGAGCAGAGAACAAGGTAGTCTAAACATACCGCTTCTGCAGAGCTTTTCTGTTCTAACACTATCAAGCTTTCCTTTTCCTAAAGTTCTCCCGAGTTGGCTTAAGATTAAAGAAAAGGAGAAGAAGAGGCGAAGAGAGAGGAAAATTTAGAAAAAGAACTCTCAAAGTGGGGAAAGAGGCTAGCATTATCTTTATTTTGTGTATTAGGAAACAAAGATACAGAGAGCTGTTTGACATTACCAAGTGCAGATCATTGTGTTTAAGATGTGAGTTTTAGGGCTTCCGGGGAGGGGGGGGTGTGTGTGTATATATATGTGTGTATATTTGTGTATATATATGTATATATACATATGTGTATATATATGTATATATACATATGTGTATATATACGTGTAGATATACGTATATATACACATTTTTTTTCTACACTATCATTTCCAAAAGTGTTCTAGGCAATGTTAGTAAAGCACAATAAAAGGGGTTCATAGCTAAGTAAGTGTGAGGGAAATTGAATATGATAAAACTTCGCTGGGAGAGTCATAGGGTTTATTAACATATTAGAGGCTATGACAAGTCCTGCAAAAGAAGCCTATTTATTGCCTCATAGAAGTAATCACTATCGACCAGGCACAGTGGCTCACACCTGTAATCCCAACACTTCAGGAGGCTGAGGCGGGTGGATCACCTGAGGTCAGCAGTTCGAGACCAGCCTGGCCAACATAGTGGAACACTGTCTGTACTAAAAAAAAATACAAAAATTAGCCGGGCATGGTGGTGGTTGCCTGTAAAATCCCCAACTACTCGGGAGGCTGAGGCAGGAGAATCGCTTGAACCCGGGAGGCAGAGGTTGCAGTGAGCCGAGATCGCACCATTGCACTGCAGCTGGGCGACGAGAATGAAACTCCATATAAAAAAAAAAAAAAGTAATCACTATCTTGTAGATGGGATATATTATTCCAATAAATATTTTAATATTTTTACTACACATGCATCTATCCTTAAGCAATATAATGTAGAGTTTTGCACACATGTAGACCTTAAATAAATGGTACCATACCCTATTTAAATACCCTCTGCAATTTGTTTTTCTTTTTTTTTTTTTTGAGACAAGGTCTCGCTCTGTCCCCCAGGCTCTAGTGCAGTGATGCAAACATGGCTCACAGCCTTTACCTTCTGGGCTCAAGCAGTTCTCCTGCGTCAGCCTCCCACATAACTAGGACCACAGGTGCATGCCACACTGGTCTTGAACCCCTAGGCTCAAGCAGTCCTCCTACCGTGGCCTCCCAGGGTATTATAGGCATGAGCCACTGTGCCTGGCCTGCTTTTTTTTTTTTTTTTTTTAAGACGGAGTCTCATTCTGTTGCCCAGGCCGGAGTGCAGTGGCACGATCTCGGCCCACTGCAACCTCTGCCTCCTGGGTTTCAGTGATTATCCTGCCTCTTGAGTAGCTGGAACTATGTGCCACCATACCAGCTAATTTTTGTTTGTTTGTTTGTTTGTTTTTCACTTTTCCAATGAGTTTTTATTAGCAGGTAAGAGATGATTTAGGATTCCGGGGTGGGGGTCACTGGGTACTAGGTCCCCCTTCACCATCCTGGGAGAAGGACGGAGAACAGAGGAGAGGGAGGTGCAGCCAGTTCAGATCTTCCCAGGAAACGTGCCTTCAGCCTGTTGGTCGTCCCAGTCTATGACCCAGGATGTGGGGCAGAGGAACTGGTATACACACTGGTACCATTCACACACAGAGATATCACCTCCTTTAGTGGTCATTGCCTTCTGACAGCGGTGGAAGTCCAGGTAGTTCTGCCAGCAGTTCCTGGTCTGGTTCTGGTTGGGGAAGTGGCTGTCAAAAGGGGCAGTCTTGTAGTTCTTGATTTTGGTCTCATTGTCTTCTTCCGCCATGGTGCTGAATCCTAAAGGCACCCCAGATGCAACTTAATTTTTGTATTTTTTAGTAGAGACAGGGTTTCACCACATTGACCATGCTGGTCTCGAATTCCTGACCTCAGGTGATCCCCCATCTCGGTCTTCCAGAGTGCTGGGATTATAGGTGTGAACCATTGCACCGAGCCCCTACTTGCTTTTTGTGCTTAACATTATACTTCTTTTTTTGTTTATGGTTGTTTGTTTGTTTTTTGTTTTTTGAGACGGAGTCTCGCCCTGTCACCCAGGCTGGAGTGCAATGGCATCATCTCAGCTCACCGCAAGTTCCACTTCCCAGGTTCAAGTGATTCTTCTGTCTCAGCCTTCCAAGATGCTGGGATTATAGACGCCTGCCATCACACCTGGCTAATTTTTCTATTTTTGCAGAGATGGGGTTTCGCCATGTTGGCCAGGCTGGTCTCGAACTACTGACCTCAGGTGATCTGCCCACCTCAGCCTCCCAAAGTGCTGGGATTATAGGCATGAGCTACCGTGCCCGGCCAATAGTGTATATGCATATCTTGAGCCTGTATTTACCTTGGTTAAAAATTATTTTTATTTATTTTTGCCTATTTGGTAGGTATTACATGATGTTTTTGTTTTGTTAATTCCAAAGTTGTTTTTTTTTTTTGAGACGGAGTTTTGCTCTTGTGGCCCAGGCTGAAGTGCAGTGTCGCGATCTCTGCTCACTGCAATCTCTGCCTTCCAGATTCAAGCAATTCTCCTGCCTCAGCCTTCCAAGTAGCTGGGATTACAGGCGCTTGCCGCCATTCCTGGCTAATTTTGTATTTTTGGTAGAGACGGGGTTTCACCGTGTTGGCCAGGCTGGTCTCAAACTCCTACCCTCAGGTGATCCTCCCTCCTCGGCCTCCCAGAGTGCTGAGATTACAGGCATGAGCCACTGTGCTTGGCCTAATTCCAAAGTAATTTCTGAGGGTACTTGTACACGGGTTTTTTTTTTTTTCCTTTTTATCATTTTATTTCACTGGACTGTTTTTCCTTTCTTTTCCTATAATTCTTGTCCACGTCTGTAACACTTAAGATTACTTTTTTTGGCTGGGTGCAGTGGCTCACACCTGTAATCCTAGTGCTTTGGGAGACTGAGATGGGCAGATCACGAGGTCAGGAGTTCAAGACCAGCCTGGCCAGCATGGTGAAACCTCGTCTACTAAAAATACAAAAATTAGCAGGGCAAGGTGGCACATGCCTGTAATCCCAGCTTCTTGGGATGCTGAGGCGGGAGAATTGCTTGAACCCAGGAGATGGAGGTTGCAGTGAGCTGAGATCACACCACTACACTCTAGCCTGGGCGACACAGCGAGACTCTGTCTCAAAAAAAAAAAAAAAAGGAGACAGTTCTCTCTGGTTGCTTTTTCTTGGGACTTCAGATAAGTAGGAAAACACAGAGAAAGAACATGGACTTTTGAATGAGACACGCCTGGCTTTGCCACCCATGCCTCTGTGAACTGAGCCTCTGACTTTCCCCACTGATGATGTTTACAGAGTTTTGGGGAGAAGGAAATTCAATATTGAGCCTGACCAGACTCAGTATAGTATAGTGTGCATGGCAGGGGCCAACATGTGTTAGTTTCTGTCTTTGCCCTGTGTCTTCTCCAAAGCCATTAGGGAAAGAGACCAGATGCAGAAGGGGAGTGGCCTTCTAGAACAGCATTCTCTCCCTTTTTTTCTTTTTTTTTTTTTTGAGACGGAGTCTCACTCTGTCACCCAAGCTGGAGTGCAGTGGTGCGATCTCCGCTTACTGCAAGTTACGCCACCTTCTGGGTTCACGCCATTCTCCTGGCTCAGCCTCCCTAGAAGCTGGGACTACAGGCGCCCGCCACCACACCCGGCTAATTTTTTTGTATTTTTAGTGGAGACAGGGTTTCACCGTGTTCGCCAGGATGGTCTCGATCTCCTGACCTCATGATCTGCCCGCCTCGGCCTCCCAAAGTGTTGGGATTACAGGCATGAGCCACCATGCCTGGCCCATTCTCTCTCTTTAATATTCATTTGTGCATAATGTTCTTGAGTCCAACAGGGAGGATTAATTGTGATGTTTTGTAACTCCACCCTTTTCATTTCCACTGAAAAAAAGTCATGGTGGCCGGGCATGGTGGCTCATGCCTGTAATCCCAGCACTTTGGGAGGCTGAGGCAGATGGATCACCTGAGGTCAGGAGTTCGAGACCAGCCAGGCCAACATGGTGAAACCCCATCTGGAGAGAGTTCAAGATTTCAGTCTTGATTTCCCTCCAGCCTGGGCGAAAGGGTGAGACTCTTATCTCAAAAAAAAAAAAAAAAAAAATCAGGGGAATACAAGCAAGTGAGAATAATGGTATTACAGAAAGGTGAATTTATCACAACTTTGATAATTTAACTATTATTTGTATCACATCCAACACTCACATCTCAGCCTCAGCTTCCCCCCTAGTCTCTAGTACTGTGCTATTCTAGACTAGAAAGGAACTTGGCTGGCGTCATTGTAGTTGGACCCTTAGATGCCTAAGTGGTCCCATTAAGTTCTCTCTGGAGCTAAGAGCTGAGATGCTTTCAAGAGAATTGCCTTTGTTATTTACAGTGTTCTCCCCACACATTCATTTCCTCAGGCCGCTCATGCATTCCTATTTCATTTCTCTGGGTCCTCTCCCTGGCACCATCTTGTTGAAGATACTATTCAGCACAGAATTGGACTCAGATCCCATCGTTATTTTTCCTTTTTTTTTTGAGACAGAGTCTCACTCTGTTGCCCAAGCTGGAGTGCAATGGCGTGATCTTGGCTCACTGCAACCTCCATCTCCTGGGTTCAAGCAATTCTCCTGCCTCAGCATCCCAAGAAGCTGGGGTTACAGGTGCCCACCACCATGCCCAGCTAATTTTTGTATTTTTAGTAGAGATGGGGTTTCACTATGTTGGCCAGGCTGGTCTCAAACTCCTGCCCAAAAGGGACCCCCCTCCCAAGAAGCTGGGGTTACAGGTGCCCACCACCATGCCCAGCTAATTTTTTGTATTTTTAGTAGAGATGGGGTTTCACTATGTTGGCCAGGCTGGTCTCAAACTCCTGACCTCAGGTGATCCACCTGCTTTGGCCTCTCCAAGTGCTAGGATTACAGGTGCAAGCCACTGTGCCCCCCTGCATCCTTATTTTCTTAGGCCTTTAGCCCCAGGTTTTACCCCTTTAATCAAACTCACCTCTTAGTCCATGTTCCCCTGCAACCTTTGCTTGGGCTCTTGAGTGTTTGTCAGGGTTGAGGGTTACCTACTAGGCTTGGACCTGTCTTTGCAGGACCTCTGTTCCCTTCACTCTACAGCTTCGTCTCAGTACAGGACCTCAAGACTCACCAGCATCTCCCATGCTGTAGCCATCTGTCCTGGAGCAGTACTGCATACCAGGCCTGGGCCCAAGAGGCTGGACCAAATGGGAGCCCCCTTCCCCGAGAGCAGCTGTTGCTTTTAGGGACACTAACAGACCTACCGGGGGACTTGGAACAAGAGTGCAGGAACGGAAGCCTCTATGTGAGAGATAACACTGGCGTCCTGAGCTGTGAGGTGAGTGGAAGGTGGAGGTCAGATGCCTCAGATCCTGACAAGAATGGTGTCCAAGGATCAAGACAATTAAAAGTCTCTGAGGAAACAGGCGGGGAGGTAGGTGGATAGGGTGCTAAGGTCCTGATTAACCCTTGCTCTTGGTCTTTTTTAGCTCATCGACCTGGACCTTTCTTGGTTGGGCCATCTTTTTCTGTTCCCCCATTGGAGTTACCTCCCTCCTGCCAGGTGGAATTCCTCAGGGGAGGGGCACTTGGAGCTGTGGGATGCCCCTGTGCCAGTGTTTCCTTTGACCGTCAGTCCTGGCCCGCTCACTCCTATCCCTGTCCTCTACCCGGAGAGTGCTTCCCGCCTGCTCAGGCTCAGGTAAGTTCCCCCTCTAGGCATGGCGGGGACACTGTGAAATCGGAGGCTGATGGTGGGTCAGTGGAGGGAGAGAAAGAAGGGCATTGATAGTAATATAGACGGAATGTTCCAAATCAAGGGAATGGTGGGCTTTGAATGTTAAGAAGGTAAAGAGAAGGGTTTTTCAGGGGATCTGTGCCTTATCTGATGGGGGCAAGAGAATTTTGAAGGTTTTTAGCATACCTAGCTTTGGGCTGTGGACACTTTGTATCACTACCAGGTTATTCTTTACTGTGTAAGGGACAGCATTTATAGGGAAGAAGAAGAGAAATAAAGATGACTGCTTCTTTTTTTTCTTCTTTTTTTGAAACGGAGTTTCACTCTTGCTGCCCAGGCTGGAGTTCAATGGCGTGATCTCAGCTCACTGCAACCTCTGCCTTCCAGGTTCAAGTGATTCTCCTCCCTCAGCCTCCTGAGTAGCTGGGATTACAGGGCTTTTTCTTCCTTCTTAGAAACAAGCTCAGAGGTGTGCAGCGAAACCTGGCTGGGAATCTGGTTCGATTGAGTGCTCTGGTGAAAAGTAAGCAGAAAGCTTACTTCATCCTGTCTCTTGGTAGATCACCCCCAGCTGTCACCCACGTGTCTGTCATCGTGCAGGTGAGGATTGGGGTCATTTCAGCCATGGAAGTGGGGGAGGGTGTTAGAACTTTCAGTAGGAAAGATAACATCGTAGGAGAAGCCATGTAGGAAAGGAGGACAGCTGGGGAAAGCTGTTTTCTGGAATAGCGCTGTTGGGAGAAGATTCCAGGAAATGTTTGTGCATAGAGGAAGTAGACTTTCCGCTTTGCAATTCACTTGAGCACACAGCTCTTAGATTGTATGTGACCTTTTAAAAAACTGCCACACTGACTTGTGGAAGATGACCAAAGAAATCACTCATCTTAATACCATTGAGACATTGAATACAGGCATTAAAAAAAACAACAACTTGGTACCTACTGTTGACTCTTTTTGCATCAACTGGTACAATTTTATTTTCATAATTTCAGCTTTTAGACTCAGGTGCATGTGCTTGTTTATTAGCTGGGGATATTTTATGATTCTGAGGTTTGGGGTATGATCCATCCTTTTACCCAGGTACTGAGCATAGTACCCAAGGTAGAAATTGTAAATCATTAATTTTTATTCTAACCGTTGTTTTATGACATATAAGTATCTGAATAATGTTTCTTTTCCTTTTTATAAAAAATTTAAAAATATGTGTATTTTGTAGAAATAGGGTCTCGGTATGTTGGAGAAGAACAGTTTATCATACTTCCCTTGATATCAGTCCCAATATTGGATACATATCTACTGAATACATATGGATTACATGAATGAATGTTGTTTGTGTGTTGTGGGGTGGGATAGAGCACACTTTTCTCAATGGAATATGTATGTGTTTTGAAGGAAGTTTTAGGGATGGTTTATATGTTGGGGAAGTGGTTAGGAAATAATTTGGCATCTCCTGTGAGAGAGGAGAGACGCTAAGGTTTAGTTGGCAGACATAAGGAAGACGGAGAAGTGAGGAGAGATTCACAGGGGGCAGGTCTCTGAGTTCAAATCGTGAGGGAAAGGGACTCTGGCAGAGCGGCAGTGTTGGGGTCTCTTGTGCCACATTGCCTGTCTCTGCACAAGCCAGGTCCCTGCCCAGCTGGTGTGGCACAGAGCCCTTCGGCCTGGTACAGCCTATGTGCTGACAGAACTGCGAGTGTCCAAGATCCGTGGTCAGCGCCACCATGTTTGGATGACCAGTCAGTCCTCCCGTTTGTTGCTGCTGAAACCAGAATGTGTGCAGGAGCTGGAACTGGAGCTGGAAGGACCCCTCTTAGAGACTGATCCCAAACCACTCCCCATGCCCAGCATTTCCGAGGACGAGAAGGATCCAAAAGGTCTTGTCCGGTATTCTAGACTCCTGTCCTATTCGGTGAGCACAGGGAGAGATCCTAGAGCTTGAGGGGCCGGAAATGGGGGTCTTCAAAGAGGAAGAAAATAGCAGTCAACTGGACCTCGGCCTGTTTGCAGGGAGCAGTGACTGGTGTGTTGAATGAGCCCGCTGGCGTCTATGAGCTGGATGGGCAGCTGGGGCTCTGCCTTGCCTACCAGCAGTTCCGTGGCCTCAGGCGTGTGATGCGACCAGGAGTGTGTCTGCAGGTATGTGAGATCAGGGCTGATAACGAAAAGAGACCTCTGCAGCTTCTCTTACCTTCATGGGCTCCTTTTCTGCAGCAGGGTGGTTATCTAGAAATACAGAAATAAAAAGTGTGTGTTGGGGGTCACTTTTGTTCAGGATAACTTGGACAGAAGTTTACATCAAAAAGGAGTAGAGTCTTGGGCACTGTGAGGAGGAGTTGTGGCCAGAGCATCTCCTTTACAGAAGGGCCTTTCACCTGGAGGAGGAGATGGCTGAAGCACAGGTCTGGGGCTGGGATGATCTCAGGCGACCTGGTGAGAAGCCTCAGCCATGTCTGTTCATCCTGGAGCCACCCAGCCCACAGCAAGACTGAGTGGAGCTCATGGGAGATGAAGGCTGACCACAGTGGGCGTGGGTTGTAATGGAAAGCAAGGCTAGCCCACGAGGGAGAAATTGTTTTCCTTCTTCCCGGAACCCAGGCAGTGGCAAAGTGCAGTGAACGTTTCCTGGGTTCATTGAGTTGGGGGCTTCATCTCTGCTTTTTCATTTTCTCTGCTTTCCCCCAGCTCCAGGATGTTCACCTGCTCCAGTCAGTGGGTGGGGGGACAAGAAGGCCAGTGCTCGCCCCCTGCCTCCGAGGCGCCGTTCTGCTTCAAAGCTTCTCTCGTCAGAAGCCTGGGACTCACTCATCCCGTCAAGCCTACGGGGCCTCCCTGTATGAGCAGCTGGTGTGGGAACGTCAGTTAGGACTTCCCCTCTACCTGTGGGCTACCAAGGCCCTGGAGGAGCTGGCCTGCAAGTGAGGAGGCTGAGGGCCCAGGGCGGGGAGGCAGTGGGAGTAGCACACTTCCTTGGCAAGGAGAGCGGGATTCTTGAAGAGACAGGCTCTTCAGGGGAAGTGACTGCGCTGCTTTTCCTGGCCAAGGCTGTGTCCCCATGTGCTGAGACACCACCAGTTCCTGCAGCATTCCTCTCCTGGGAGCCCCGGCCTGGGACTGCAACTCCTGGCTCCTACCCTGGATCTTCTAGCTCCGCCAGGCAGCCCTGTTCGGAATCCGCACAGTGAGATCCTTGAAGAGCCACATCACTGTCCCCTCCAGAAAGTATGAGGATGTGGGAGAAGGATGGTGGCAGAACACCGGAGGACACCTGGGGCCCACGGGACACACTCCCGGTTTTTCTTCCCTCCTTGACAGTACACTCGGCTACAGACTCCCTCCTCCTTCCCTACTCTGGCCACCCTGAAAGAGGAAGGACAGCGTAAGGCCTGGGCCTCCTTTGACCCTAAGGCCCTTCTGCCCCTCCCGGAGGCCTCGCACCTGTCCAGCTGCCAACTCAATCGCCGCCTGGCTTGGTCCTGGCTCTGTCTGCTGCCCTCTGCCTTCCACCCAGCCCAGGTAAGGGGGGCCCTTGCAGGACTCAGGGGACTTCCTTTTTTTGTCATCCTTATTGCCACGACCCTAGTCTCGGTTACTATCATTTTTTTGTCATTTTGACTACACTAGCCTTCTAAGCAGACCACTTCGTCTGTTGTTGGCCCCTCCAGTTCATTCTCTCTGCAGCAACTACAAAGGGGGATATGCCAGGCACAGTGGCTCATGGCTGTAATCCCAACACTTTGGGAGGCTCACGCATGAGGATCACTGGAGCCCAGGAGTTTGAGACCAGCCTGGGTAGAGACCTTGTTGCTACAAAAATTTTGTTTTAATTAGGTGTGGTGGCACGTGCCTATGGTCCCAGCTACTCAGGAGGCTGAGGTAGGACCGCTTGAGCCTGAGAAATCAAGGATATACTGTAGCCAGGATCACACCACTGCACTCTAACCTGGGCAACAGAGCAAGACTCAGGAAAAAAAAGGAAGTTAAAAAAAAAGTGAAACTTGTATTACAGAACTCTCTTGTTTAAATCCTTTTTTTCGAGACAGGATCTTGCTCTGTAGCCCAGGCTAGAGTGCATTGGCACGATCATGGCTCATTGCAGCCTCGACCTCCCAGGTTCAAGTGATCCTCCCACCTCAGCCTCCCAAGTAGCTGAGACTACGGGCGTTCACCACCATCCCTGGCTAATTTTCTTTTTTTATTTTTTTGGAACAGGGTCTTGCTCTGTCACCCAGGCTAGAGTGCAGTGGCTCTATCTTGGCTCACTGCAACCTTGCCTCCTGGGCTCAAGCAGTCCTCCCACCTCAGCCTCCCGAGTAGCTGGGACTGTGGGTATCCATCACCACGTCCAGCTAATTTTTGTGTTTTTGTAGAGATGGGATTTCGCCATGTTTCCCAGGCTGGTCTTGAATTCTTGGACTTGAGTGATCTGCCTGCCTCAGCCTCCCAAAGTGCTGGGATTACAGGCATGAGCCACTGCACCCAGCCTGGGTTAATTTTTACATTCTTTGATTTTTAGAGATGGGGTCTCTCTATGTTGCCAGGCTGATTTCCATCTCCTGAGCTCAAATGATCCTTCTGCCTTGGCCTCCCAAAGTGCTAGGATTACAGGCGTGAGCCACTGCGCCCAGCTTAAATTCTTTGCATGCCTCTCCTAGTGCATATAAAGTAAAATCAAACGTCTCATTGTGTCCTATGAGATCCCACATGGCCTCTTACCTGTAACCTCTATTTGTACCCTTTCTCTTCTACAAAATGTGCGAATGCATGTGTATTTTTTTATGTCTGTCTACCTCACTTGAATATAAGTTCTTTGGAATCAGAGACCTGTCTTTTTTGTTCACTTTGTAGCTTTACCATGTAATACAGCATCTGGCAAATAGTAGATGCTCAGTATTTGCTGAATAAACATTTGGTAACTCAACCTTCATCTTCTTGCAGGTTTTACTTGGGGTTCTGGTAGCTTCATCTCATAAAGGTTGTCTGCAACTTCGGGACCAAAGTGGCTCCCTGCCCTGCCTGCTCCTGGCCAAGCACTCTCAACCCCTCAGTGACCCACGGCTGATAGGTTTGGAGTTCAGATGCGGAAAGAAGATGGTGGTGGGGTGGTGGTTCTCACAGCCAGGGGATCCTGGGAGGAAAAGTCTGCTGGGATTTACTAGAGATGCTGAAGTGACACATGTCAATCAACAACTTCTGGGAGACTGGTATGGCAGGCGGAGAGCAGGAGCAAGAGGACCCCTAGCCAGAATTTCCAGCACGCATTTCTCCACCATAGCTCCTAACGCGCACTCCAGGATTACAACTGTGTCTCCTACATTCTTAGTTTGGAGAGAAGGTGTCACCCCTCTAAGGTGGGGGTCAGGTGTGGGCTTTCGTGTCATGTTAGGGCAGCAGCTCTGGCCTGGGATGGGCAGTGAGACCGGTAGGATGGTCTGCCTCGCAACCCACCCCACAGGTCTCCTTTCTTGTCAAGATAGAAAACTTTCTTCCTCTAGGCTGCCTGGTGAGGGCAGAGAGGTTTCAGTTGATCATAGAGAGGGACGTGAGAAGCAGCTTCCCTTCCTGGAAGGAGCTGAGCGTGCCAGGCTTCATCCAGAAGCAGCAGGCCAGGTTGGCTGCTTGGGGTCGTGGTTGTCCTGAGTCTGGGGGGAAGGAAGGGCCTGGTGAAAGGAGTGGGACTCTGGGGACCAAAATACCCAATGCCTGCATCACTAAGAAATCTATTTGTTGTCTCTCCCAACAGAGTCTATGTCCAGTTCTTTCTGGCTGATGCCCTGATCCTGCCTGTGCCCAGGCCCTCCCTTCATTCAGCAACACCCTTAATACCTCAGACAGATCCCACCAGCCCGGAGGGACCCCACCTAGGACAGAGCCGACTCTTCTTGCTCTGCCACAAGGAGGCCCTCATGAAGCGGAATTTTTGTGTCTCTCCAGGAGCAAGTCCAGAGGTGCCCAAGCCCACCCTCAGTTTCTGTGTGTTGGGGAGCTGGCTTGGGGGCACCCAGAGGAAGGAGGGGACTGGATGGGGGCTGCCCGAGCCCCAGGGAAATGACGACAAAGATCAGAAGGTAAACTGGAACTCCAAGGACCCAGGACCTGACCTGTGCCCTGAGTCTCTGGCTGGGACCCCAGCACTTTGCTCTCCATCCTCACAGGTTCACCTCATTTTCTTTGGCGCTTCAGTCCGCTGGTTTGAGTTCTTGCACCCGGGGCAAGTGTACCGACTCGTAGCTCCTGGCCCCCCTGTGAGTGCTCTACTTCATCATTCCTTTCCCCAGAAAGCTTTTTAGGGGTTGGGGTCTAAAGAGGGCATGCCAGTGCCTGGTCACTCTCTAGGCCTTCTGGAAGAAGGCTGGACTTAGATATACCAGAAAGCCTGTGTGTGTTGACACACTTCCTTCTGCATGTTCCAGAAAGAACAAAATTGGGTCCGAATATTTTGTGAACCTCCCACTGGACTAGCACACACTCACAGACAGTCATCTTCCCATTTCTTTGCAGACACCAATGTTGTTTGAGAAGGATGGTTCATCCTGCATATCTCGGCGTCCTCTGGAGTTGGCTGCCTGTGCATCCTGCCTCACTGTCCAGGACAGCTGGACTCTGGAGCTTGAAAGCTCCCAGGATATCCAAGATGTGCTGGATGCAAACAAGGCACTGCCTGAATCCTCACTGACCGACCTGCTCAGTGACAAGTAAATGTCCACCAAGCCCCTCTGGTTAATTTGGCCACTTTCTCTTCTTGCAAGCTACCTGGGTTTGGTGAAGACTTCATTTTCTTTTGCAGTAGGTATTTCTTTTGTTATTTTTTTTTTGAGACAGAGTCTTGCTCTGTTGCCTAGGCCAGAGTGCAATGGCCTGCTCTCAGCTCACTGAAACCTCTGCTTCCCCTGTTCAAAGGATTCTCCCACTTCAGCCTCCCAAGTAGCTGGGATTATAGGGGTGCACGCCACCACGCCCAGCTAATTTTTTTGTATTTTTAGTAGAGACAGGGTTTTGCCATGTTGGCCAGTCTGGTCTCGAGCTCCCACCTCAGTCTCCCAAGTGCTGGGATTTAGGGGCGTGAGCCACCTTGTGCGGGTTTCGAATGATCTGCCACAACCCTCTTTTTCCCATAAGCCCTTAGTGTGCAGTGTGGCGGAGCTCAGGGCTTTTCAGGACTTCATATATGAAATTCTAGCAGATACTTTTGTTCCATTTTCTGCCTTGGATCTGACTGTCTCCACTCTATGCTTTCTTATGCCTCCATTCACAGTGTATTTCCCTGACCTTCCAGTCTCACAGATTCCTTGGTGTCTTTCTCCGCTGAGATTTTGTCACGGACACTGTGTGAACCCCTTGTGGCCTCTCTCTGGATGAAGCTGGGTAATGAACCTTCCTTTGTGGGGAAAGTATGAAATAGAGTGATGGGCCTTTGTGGACTTCACAGATCCTACTAACACCCACCTTCCTTCTGTAGGGAACACGGGGGCCATGAGAAGGTGTGTGAAGCTAACCGTCGCCCTTGAGACTGCTGACTGTGAATTCCCCCCTCACCTGGATGTATATATCGAAGACCCCCACTTGCCTCCCTCACTAGGACTCCTTCCAGGAGCCCGGGTCCACTTTAGCCAGCTGGAGAAAAGGGTTTCCAGGTGAAGATGTGTAGTGTCACCTGCCTCCTCTTGCTACTGATGTAGCTCTCTGGAATGTTCATCTCTGCTTAACTTTGCTGCAGCGACCCCTTTTCTTTCATACAGCTTTCCATATATCAGTCTGCCATTTGTGCCCAGTACCCTCATGAGGTATTGCAGTCTGGTCCTCCTCCTAGTCTTCCCCTAGCTTTGGTAGGGCCATGGCCAGGGTATGTCCCTCAGGGGGAGTGGCCAGTCTGTGGTGCTTGATCTCTGAGTCCCAGCTTCTACCCCAATTTGTCTTGTCTGCCTGGTCACTAACTATTCCTCTTCCACTTGCAGATCTCACAATGTTTATTGTTGTTTCCGGTCATCCACTTACGTGCAGGTCCTGAGTTTTCCCCCTGAGACCACCATCAGGTCAGTGCCCAGACCCCAACCCCTAAACTTCCTGGCTTCACATCTGCATCTCCCACATACCCCTGGTTCTGAAGATTTTGCCATCACTACAGTCTTCTCCAATCCCAACAAGATGTGTTGAGTCAGAGGAGCTCCTCTACCCCAAATAAAAAATGCTCTGTGCCTATCATTGTACCCAGAATCATTTAGTGTTCTAGGCTTTTGAAGGCTTTTCAGTCTAACATGCAAATATTTCTTGGCTAACATCATGGTGTTCAAACCTGAAAAATAACCAGTGACTATCAAGAGATCAGGAATTAAAATGGGGGCAGGGGATGGGGCTTCTAGGAGCGCATGGAACCCACTGCTGTCCCCATCCTGATGCCCTGTATGTCCTTCTAGACCCACCCTGCTTTCAGAACCCCTTTGCCTGTTCTGTTTCTTGACCCCTGTGTCTGTCTCTCTGTATTTATTTAGCGTTCCCCTGCCCTACATCTACCTGGCTCAACTTCTGCAGGGTGGTCAGTCCCCATTCCAGGCCACTACCTCTTGCCATATCGTCTCCGTCTTCAGCCTTCAGCTCTTCTGGGTGTGTGCTTATTGTACCAGCATCTGCCCCCAGGTAAGGGAGGGAAGGAACAGGCTGAACTGAGTATGGAGTGCCAGAGGGATGTGATGGGACCAAGAGGACTTTTCCAACCACTGTCTTCATCCCAGGGAAAGTGCAGTCGGCTGGGCCCCACATGCCCTACACAGACATCTGTAAGCCAGGCCACCATCAGGTGAGAGCACAAGGCAGGCACCCATTGTGCCATTTTCTTATTAGACCACTTTGTCTAGCTGCAATTTCTACATTAGCATAATTCCTGGCTCATGAGAATTGCTGGATATGTTTTGAACGAATGAATGAGGGTAGGCTCCTAAATCTTTGAGCCAAAGACCGCAAACAGTGGGGAGGGAGGCATGTTGGGTCCGGGGTGTTGGCAAACTGGGTTGCTGTAGGCGTTTGTATTTCCCCCTGCTCCCCATAGGCTCCTGGTGGAGGACGGGACTGCCGAAGCCGTGGTGACCTGTAGGAATCACCATGTAGCAGCAGCACTAGGGCTGTGTCCTAGAGAGTGGGCCTCCCTCCTGGAGTTCGTGCGAGTGCCGGGCAGAGTGGGCTTGCAGTTTGCAGGGCCTGGAGCCCAACTTGAGGTGTGATGTGGCTGGGACGGAGGGACTCAGTATACCCAGATTCCTGGGCTTTTGGCAGAGGATTTAGGAGCTAGTTAACCTTGACCTTCTTTTTCTAGTCCTCAGCCAGGGTTGACGAGCCTATGACCATGTTCCTCTGGACACTTTGTACTAGCCCCTCCGTCCTCCGACCTATTGTGCTTTCTTTTGAGCTGGAAAGGAAACCGTCTAAGATCGTCCCATTAGGTAAGGTTGGAGATGGGGGGATCATGGTGATACAGATAGATGGGTCCCTGGGAGGAAGAGGGATGCGAGACTGATGGGGAATTTCTGGAGTTAGGGAGGAGAATGGTGGGTAGGAACTAAAAGCCACATGCCTGAGATGTGTGTTTTTCTTCTCTTCCCACCTCAGAACCTCCTCGGCTACAGCGATTCCAGTGTGGAGAGCTCCCTTTCCTGACTCACGTGAACCCCAGGCTCCGATTGTCCTGCCTTTCCATCCGAGAGTCAGAGCACTCCAGCTCTCTGGGGGCCCTTGCTTCCTCCTGTTAACTGAACTGCAAGGATGGCCTGAGAGTCCTTCCTTGCTAAAAACCTGAAGGCCTAGGTCCTGGCTCCTCCCCTACTTGCCCTGTGATTGAACCAAGGACTCCAGATTCACAAACCGCTACACCACTATAATTTCCCTTTGGTGTTCTGGTGCCAGCCTGCCTTGGCGAAACTGTGGAAACAAGAAATCACGGCACTATTGATATTTCCTCTGACTGGGGACAAGGCATGTGTATTCACAGGTGGCTCTGAGCACCTGGGTTCTGACTTTGTGGCCGGAGCTGAGGGAACAAAAGACTTGCTCGCTGTGGGGATGATGGTGACAGGCCCATTGACCTGCAATGAAGCCCTCTGGTGTCATTTCTCACTGGTACTCATCTCTGGGGTCCCAGGCCTCCTGACTCCTAGTTGTCCACCTCCTAGGAACTCCTAGTCGTTCATCATCATTTCAGCCCTTTGCCACCAGGGCCAAAGGTGGAAAGTGATTTGGAAGAGAAGAGCTTCTGGTCCAGCAGAAGAAATGATACCAAAGTCAGTCTGTAAAGGAAGTAAACTGGGGAGCTGGCAGCAAGGCAGAGAGCATAGCTATGATGGTCTTAGTAAGGCTGGGCCCTGCAGGAAGTCAAATATGAATGCCTAGAGGTGTTCACAACACAAAGATGGGGTAGGGGGAGGCAAGTGCCAGGCACGAGGAGGGCCAGGTGAGGACCCTGGATGCCTGTGCTATAGGGCCCCAGGCTAGGGTCAGTCCTGTAGGTTTCCCAAGGGCCCGGCCTAAGGCAGATCCTTGATCAATGTACCATGAGACCAGAAGGTACTCTAAAATCACAACCACAGAATTAGGGGATCTAGGAGCAGTTCTTTGGAGCTATCCATGCATTTGGCTGGTGTTGCCGCATTTCTTTACTGGGGGCTGATAGGTAGAGAGGTGGAAAGATGATCTGAGGCACATCTTTCAGAGCTACTGGGAGGCCATTTCTTCCTGGCTATTAGGATTCGTTCATATTTGGGAGACCTTCAGAGCATGGTTAAGCCCATATGTTGGTGTTTACACACTTTTATGGCAGTAATATCCTATATTAAGATTCGAGGTAGGTCGTATTAACAACTGGCCGGTTAGCTCAGTTGGTTAGAGCGTGGTGCTAATAACGCCAAGGTCGCGGGTTCGAGCCCCGTACGGGCCAGAGGGTGGTTTGTTGTTTTCTAACCTTGTGCTGTTGTCCGGAAGTTTCTGCCCAGAGCCAGTTGCTTTCTGATAACAGAATTACATTACACCTACTGCTGCTTATTTATTCCCTGAATCACCAGCGCTCCCGAAGGTTTGGAAGGGAGGTGCCTCTGAGCACCCAGGTGAAAGGAAGTTTCCCGTGCAACCGCCGCGTCTTTTCTTCCCTGGAAACTCCTGTTGGAGGCAGATGTTTTTCAGTCAAGGGAAGTAAGAAAGGCATTGGATGAAAGTAAGAAAAGAGGCCTTGTAGTCGTGGCCGAGTGGTTAAGGCGATGGACTAGAAATCCATTGGGGTCTCCCCGCGCAGGTTCGAATCCTGCCGACTACGTGAGATTTTTCTGACCGTATTTCTCTCCTCCAGGACGGGATGAGCCAGTCGGCACCCTCCAAACCTATCATCTAGGAATTCTAGAATCGAGAACTTGATTTGGAGGCTATGATTTTGGTTTGAAATGTATTAACTTCTTTCGAAATTGAAGGAAATCCCAGGAATGGATGAGTGATGCAAGAGCCAGTTTACTTACCAAATTAATTCTAATCTGAATTAGGTCTGAAAAACCTGGGTCCAGGTTCCCCGCAGTATATTCTTGTAGATGAATTTCAGAATCCTTAAGAGTAGCCTTGGCGCCGTGGCTTAGTTGGTTAAAGCGCCTGTCTAGTAAACAGGAGATCCTGGGTTCGAATCCCAGCGGTGCCTTTATTCAATTGAAATAACGTAATTTTGCAGCTGAATCCGCATCCCTTAATAGATTCATGGATTGTTTTTATATCAGAACGCACAAGAGTTTCTGTTCTGCACTCAGAGCACCCAAATTTCCTGCTGAGTCGACTTGCCACTGCTATGAGATCGCCACTCTAAAAGGTGGTTTTCTAACTGGGGCAGAAATGCTGCATAGGCGTAAGGGTACTTTGCCCAACTGATGCCACACCCTACTGGTGCAGGTGGAACGGGTCTGGCGGCTGCCCTACCCTTGACGGAAGAGGCTGCCCACCTTCCAGGCCTCTTTCCCTACCCTAGGACGTTCCCTAGAACCTGAGCCACTTTGTTTTGTTTGGCTCTTCATTATGTTTATTTGGGTTTGGTGGCTCATAATTTTATATTATACATATAGTATGTAATATATATTTATATACAGTGTTTAAAATTTGGCACAGCTTCTAGATGCAGTTCTCTAACTGGTCTTTCACATGCAGTTACCTCCATCCCTCTCCACTAGCGGGATGTCAGGGTAAGGAGTAAGCAGGGATCCGGCTGGCCTGGCCTGGCACCAGGTTTCCTGCAGGAGGGTGCGGAAACCTAAGGCCATGTGGACAGAGACAAGAAAGCGTCATTCGGGAGTCCCTAGGAAGCCTGGTGTGGAAGGGCAGGGCACGCTTCTGGAGCACTGAAGCTAGGCTGGTTAAGGTAGAAATAAATGCAGGAGAGAAGGCAAGAAATAGGATCTGTGGGGTCTTGGCAGGACCTAAACCTCCTTGGAAGATAGGCGGAAAGCTCTCGACACAATTCCATGGCCCACAAACCAACGTAAGATGGGTCTAAAAGTGGGGTCTATGTACGCACTTTTAAAATAATAAAAATGTGGGGTATGCGGATGGGATTTCAGGGTATGTGTGAACTCTCTGGATTGTATACATGTCTAGGAAGAGGGCCATAGCTTCTTTTTTTTGAGATGGAATCTCACTCTGTCACCCAGATTGGAGTGCAGTGGCACGATATTGACTCACTGCAACCTCTGCCTTCTGGGTTTGAGCAATTCTCCTACCTCAGCCTCCCAAATAGCTGGGATTACAGGCGCCTGCCACCATGCCGGGCTAATTTTTGTATATTTAGTAGAGACGGTGTTTCACCATTTTGGCCAGGCTGGTCTTGAACTCCTGACTTTGTGATCCACCCGCCTCAGCCTCCCAAAGTGGGATTACAGGTGTGAGCCACCGCCCCCGGGGAAGAGGGTCATAGCTTTCATAAGGGTCATAAAGGATTTAGGCCTCCCCTTCTGCAGAGATTAAGTTCTTCAGACCAGGGAAGAAAGAGGTGACTGGATTATTTTGCAGAGAAAGCTGGAGCCCAAGGGGAGGGAGACAGGAATTGGAAAAGGGTAGGGATGGGGGAGGAGATGCCAGATCAGCCCTGAGAACCTCTTTACCCGTCTCAAAGACTTAGGACACTAATGGGAAAGACTGGGCTAACTTCTGCCCTTCCCCACTGTCTGCCCAGGGACACCTGGGAAAGGACAAATAGGAGCTGAATCCTTCACTGAAGGCCCCGTCAACGTATCTATGGGTTGGGCGTTAGGAACGGCCTGGCCCCACAAATCACATAACTGGGGTGTAGAACAAAATGGTTCCAGAGATGCTACCAGGCTGGTCCAGGACCGATGCAGGCCAGAACCCCGCTGGGAGGACTCCCCAGAACAGGCACTGAGCTGAGGAAAGGCAGAACACATGGTCTGCTACTGACCCCACCAGATCTTCTGGGACTCTGGGCAGCTCCGGAGTACTGCTAAGTCCCCAAACCGGGTCTACAGGTCTTAGCCCACACTCATGAGGCCACTTGCCTCAGAGCCTTCGGGGGGGTCTTAGGAGGCAGGCAGGAAAGTCTCCTTCTAGGCCATTCTAGAAGGGGACTGGAGAGCAGAGGTTAGACTGGAGGGTAGGGGTAACCTGATCTTACAGTCCAGAAGCCACGAGACTAGTCGCCTGGCCTTGCGCCCCGCCCCACTGCAGGGTGGAAAGCCTGTCCCACTCCAGTCACCCAGCTCAATAACGCCCTCCACCGTGGGTCTCCTGGGCCCCAGAAATCGTTCCCTCTTTCCCTCGCCTGGGCACTGCCACGCGGTCTGGGGAACCCGTAGACTATCGACGGGTCTGGCCCGGGGTTTGCCCTGCCCGTTAGCCCAGGAGGATAGACAGACACGGGGAACTGGTGTTCCCCTAGTGATTTCAAGGCTCATTAACTGTCTCCGACCCGTCCCGAAAGCAAGAAACTCCACCGCTTCTCTTCAAAGCTCTGCAACGAAGGACTAGGTCCAAGGACCGCAGGCGGAGGCGGGAATTGTCAAGATCCCAGGTTACGGAATGGCACCGAGTCGGTGACCAAAGGAAGCAGGAACCCGGGTGTTCAAGGCAGTCCTCCAGGGCGGCGCGGGGGCTAGGCTGAGGCCACTCCCTCCCACTTCCTCGACGCTATTTCCTGGGAGGAGTTGGAGCTCGCGGCCCGGAGCCAAGGGACTCCCAGACCCGTGCTCCAAAATACTAGGCTTGGGGGAGGCTGGTTCCTGAGCGGCGCCAGGACCGTTCTGCCATGCATAGTGGACCCAGCACTACAGCTAGCCTGGCACGACCTCTAGGGCGGTTCGCAACGGCACTCGTACGTCGGCTCGTTGGTCTAGGGGTATGATTCTCGCTTCGGGTGCGAGAGGTCCCGGGTTCAAATCCCGGACGAGCCCTCCTTTACGTTTTGCTCAAACAAGAGTGTCTTCAAGGAATGTGTTACCTGACCAGCGCTGCAGGAGGCTTGACTGGAAATCATCAATGTACAGTAAGCTCTTTTGTGGCACCGGGGTAACAGAAAGAATCTCAGTCCCCAGACCCGCCTGGCATGTCAGGAAGAGAGGAGGCACGCCCAGACTTGGGCAGGACGCTCCCTTTCTGCCTCTTGACTTCCTGCATGGTGTCTCAACTCCGCCACTACAGCCTGGTTTCGGTTTGATTGACACCCATCAATCTATAGGTGTGGATGACAGTGTTCGGGAGAGCCCAGGAACTGTCAGAACTTGGTTCTCTGCAGCCCTGGAGGTACTCTGTCTCTTTCGGTCACTCCATCTGACGATCGGTGCCTGAAATACACCTACAGTTTCTGGTCGGCGTTTCTTGGTGGTCGGAAGAACAGAACCCTTAGGAACTCTGCTGTCAGCAAGCCGAGTGTAAAGTCCCAGATCAAGGATTCGGAGACCATCGT